TTACCTTACACTTGGTTCGTAATTGCATTACAAGCCAACAATTTATCTGCTTTAATGGAATGCCAGAGATGTTATTGTTCCGTTTGACTATTATCCTCCCTGCATACACGAAATCTCTGAGGACTGAGCTAGTGGATGGATGCCCGTTTAACCATTCAATCTTCAACATTTTTGCTTGTGCCCTCAACGTCATTTTTGCGTCGACGAGTCAGAATGCGAAGTGGTTTTCTTATTAACAAAGATTCCCTGTTGGAAGTGAAACTTATGGAAGCATAATGGCAGCATTGTGGGGCGCAAATGATTTATATTGAATCATTCCGAGAGGTTTTCAGCACAAGGGTGAAGGTTTCCTTCTGAGTGCTTCGAATTGTAGCTATAGAGCTTGTAAGCATGCAATCTATTCTGAGACAAATTCCATGAGAGTACACCTGAGGCCTTCACCGTATTTACAAATAGTTAATATAAATGTACTGAAACATTGCGTGAAAAGCAAATTTGTTGTTATACCATGTCGACGCGTTACGAACACCCGACGAACAATGATATTGACTGGTACTGAGTCATTCCCGCAAGAACGTTTTCAACATGCGTTGCGCCGTAATGTCATGCCCTTGCGGCCTTTGCCTGCCGAATGTGCGATCATTCCCGAAAGTGATCCAGGTGTTCACATGGAAAGCTGAAAAAACTCAACGGGTAATTTGAAAGCTTAACGTCCCACGCAAAAGTGTGTTGAAATGTGCGTTGACTCAAGCTTGCCGAAAAACTATCTAAACCCTTACACTATGATGAAAGTCTGTCTTTATGATGGAAGTAGCTTGGCATGTGATTTTTCTCTACTCTGACTAAGCTTTTCTAAAAACTGATTCAGAAGTGAAAGCTACCTAACAAGAACTATTTCGACGAAAGATAAGAACGGAATGCACAAAATGGGCTTACGCTATGAAAAAAAGTATTTATGATTCATTTTCAAAACTATATATGGGTTCCGTTACGGAACTGGGCATGATATATCGTACATTCCTTGACTTCACTTACTCAGTTGTTTAGTTCCTCAAAACATTTTGGAGTAAAACTTCTTCCAAATCTGATAACATTATCTTTTCCTGTCTAATTTGTTCCTTATGGCCCACTCATCTTTTTTCAAAGTCTCTGACTTAAAGAAACAGTAAAAGGATTCGAATCTCATGTTTGGAATTTAGATCATGCACTCTAGAAATGCAAATTCTCAGAGCTCCTTTACAGTTAGTATTTCTAATCATGTCCTAATAACCATAGAACCTATGAATAAGTGGACAAAGGTTGTTGCACAACTTTGGTATATCTCCTAACACAGCCCAGCCTTTACAATTTAGAAATCTCTTGCAAAATTTACGCGTTTTTGTAGTTCGCATCGATGCTAAGAATCGAAGCCG